TATTATAAATTGATAGTCAAACAGCTCTCTGTAAGATACAGTATTATTTTATGAATGCCATCCTGGTCAGGTATGGCACGATACAATGGATGAGGCTTCAACTTCCAGATAAAGTACATCATTCATCATCGTTGAATGCTACTAGGTTAGTAACATTCTACTAGTAAAAATTAAACAAACTTACAATAACTGTAAAAAGAGGCAAAGACAAACATGAGGAACTGATAAAGCAACGCATTAGCATCAGTTTAGCATGTGTCAGAACCAAGGTGTGCTGTGAAGAGTTGGGAAGGAACAATTGTTGCCAAGAGTTCAAAAGCCATTTTGCCAATACAAAGAAGGTAGCCTGGTGAAAACCGCAAAGATTGAGGTGAAAGGTGAGTATGGATTTTCAAGATGGCGGAACAAAACTTGTACGGTAACCAGCTTCACAATCAGCTGAACATAGTTAGGATTCACGTTTTTACTGGGCCGGGACGATTGAGAAGATTGAAGCAAGTGTTTAAAAGTTTTCTGGTCGGAATGCCTCTCTGATGAAAAGCAAAAACATTTATCATTTTGGGGTTCAATTTCCTGACTCACCTACAGAATCGCTCAGGTGAAGAGTTAAAGGTTTATTTACAAGAATATTCACAGAGATTGAGAAATGGGATTAAGTTCAGTTTCTCTCCAGGAGCCAGGAACGATCACGTCTGGAGGAGGAGAGGCATGTTTTTTGGAGCTCAAGTGGGCAAGGTGAGTCTGATGATGATATTGTCAGAGGTGGGTTACAAAAAGGGAAGACAGTTAATAGCTCAGGTTGCTAATCGAACCTGAGCTAGTCGAAGGCTATCCTGTATAAACTGTCTAAACTATTAGATCAAATATTGGTGTCTGAAATATCTCATCGTCACAAGAGTGGCAGCTACTACCCACTACAAATATAAATTGGGAAATAATTCCCCAAGTAGTACCAATTAATAGTAGTTAAAAAAAAGAAACTCTAAACATGTTCTTAAAAAGTTTTCAGAATTCCCTCTGCTTTGGGAAAAACCGATGTCTAGATCACCCCTGTGGTTATACCTGCAAAACAAGACTTCCTCTAAGAGCAGCAGCTTTCTTTTATGACACATAAAAAAAAAATCACACTATAGTGTTCTCTAATGCACCTATCCATCAGCTGAGAGTCAGCCTGGAGTTTGGCGTATTTTTCCGCCTCAGTCAGTCATTCAGTCAGTCAGCGTCTCTCTGCTGTGTGACAGAAAGAAGAGATGTCAACCAACAGGTTTTTTCCAGGGAGCTCAGGGCCTTCACGTCTGCCTTCGCAGTGACTGATGAGGTCTGGGAAGAGTGACGGGCAGCTGCAGTCTGTTCTCAGCCCACGGGGCCTGCCTGGCATTAACGCGGTGTGCCATGTTCTCAGAGGGAACCTGTCATTCAGGCGTCACTCAAACCGACAGGCGCGCCGCGCGCACACAGAGGCAGAACATGAAAGGGACTGGCAAAGTAGCAGCCGATCCCCAGGTGGTCGCTCAGAGCTGAAGGTTGTGAGTTTCTTATCATCGTTGCTGGGCAGCTCGACTTCGGCTGCGGGGCCACACACGGACATGAAGGTGGCGGCGAGGCCTGGGCGAACATCAAAGTTGGGGTCCGTTGGTCGTGTCACCGCGGTATGAAAGGGAGCGGCTGCTTGCGGTGTGGTTCAGGTTTGATCTGTTTTCAGCTCACCGTGGATCAGCAACACTCGCACTGCAAGTAATTATCAAAGTTGCTTCGTGTTTTTAAAGACATCAGAACATATGCAGGAACGGGTCAGGGTAGGAGGGTTTGATGATCAACACATGCTTCACCAAAGTAGTCATGTGCCTTGAACTTTCTGTGATACTACAACCTCAAAGTTCAATGTAGCTTATTGACAATCTTGACGAGACCAAAAATTCAATTTTTACTAATATTTTTTTTTTTAAAGTCTCCTGTAAGTCCATTTAAGTTTGTCTGTCTAGAGATGGAAATATCCGTCCATTCATCCGTCCTTCCGCCTGTTATCTTGTTTAATCCAGAAGATAACAGGATCATGTCGTGGGCCAGCAGCCTGAGTGAAGAGGCCCAGACTTCCCTCTTCCCAGCCACCTGGGCCAGCTCCTTGGGGGGGAATCCCAGAGCGTCCCAAGGCCACCCATGAAATACAGTCACTCTTGCATGTCCTAGGTCTTACTCCAAGTCTCCTCCTAAAGGGATGCGTCTGGAATGCCTCACCTGGGTGGCATCCCAACTATATGATCAAGTTGCCTGACCTGGCTCCTCTTGTCGTGGAGCAGCACACATCCTGTGAAAGAAACTTGTATCGGCTGCTTGTATTCAAGATCTCTTTCTTTTGGTCATTACCCAGAGCTGACGACAAGAGATAAGGGTAGAGACGTAGATCAACTGGTAAATGGAGTTACCACTTTACCTTTCTGCCCAGCTCTCTCTTCACTACGACAGACTAGTACAGCTCTTGCATCATTACACCAATCCACCTATCGAGCTCTCACTCTATTTTTCTCTCATTTGTAAACAAGTCCCAAAGATACTGAAACTCCTCTGCTTTGGGCAGGACCTCATCCCCAACCAAGAGGAGGAATCCTTTTCTGATTCAAGACCAGGATCTTAGATTTGGAGGCACTCATTTTCATCCTGCCTGCTTTACAGTCAACTGCTCCAGTGAAAGTTGGAGATCACAGTGTGATGAAGCCAACAGAATCACATCATCTACAAAGTTCAGATACCTTTTCCTGGAGCCATCAAAACGGCTCCCCTCAACACCTTTGCTGTCCATAAACAGAATTGTTGACAAAAGGCTGGAGATGTTTGCCTGTTATTCTTTGCTCAACAGTTGAAGCTCAGACTGAATGGATCCATGAACATCAATTGTTAAGTCTTACCAAATATTGGATTTAGCTCTGGACTTTAACTGAGCCATTACAACACACCAGTATGCTTTGATCTAAATGATGTCTTTGTTTCAGGTTGTCCTTTAGACTGTCCCAGTCTAAAGTCCTTTACAGTCTAACAGATTTTCTATGTTCAGGGTTATCCTGACCTGTACATAGTAAAAATCATATTCCTACCTGTGCCTACTGAACTAAACCAGAGCCACACTATTATGCTGCCACCACCATGCTTCACTGTGGAGATGGTGTGTTCAGGGTGATGGGTGTTTTAGGTGTGGAATTTCATTCACTGGCCGAAACATATATATTTTGGTCTCAAGTGCCCAATGGAAACATTCAATACCAGGCATAGAAATGTATATTTTTGTGTTACTTATGTTATTTTTCTGCTTAATTAAATCATAAGGAGAAATAATGAAAAAAAAAAAACATAATTTTTTTAATCTCATCTCGCTGCTGTCCTCTCATACTGGTTTTGATAAATATATAAATTCATCATTGTTCCTTTAAATTATTTCATGAGAACATAACTATTCATTCATACTGATTTTGAATAGAAAATAGATAAAATTTGACGGGTTGTTAAAATTAAATGCAGCCTCGACACAGCCCAGCTGTTTAACGGAACCAAGAACAATCATCATGAAGGCTACTGAATATCAAACAGGCAATGTGACTGGCTATAATTTGAGGTACTCCCTGAAATGACCGATTTAAAAAATAAAAAACAAGGCAACCAGGCGCCATATTTGTGTATTGATCTTTATTGTGGACATGATGTTACATCTTTCTGAAATGATGTACAAAAGTGTAACAGAACTGAGAATGGCTCAGACGAGGTAGAGCTTTCACGACGGCTTGCTGGCTTCACAAACAAAACAAAGAAAACAAAACAAAACTACACGGTAGAAAAAAACCAACCTGGAAAAATCAAATGAAAACAAACGCCCCCGTCTCGCTGCTGTCCTCTCATCGTTTTTGAAGTGATAATAAATACAGATTTCAACCAAGTACATTTGGAAAAATAATGATTCCTAGGGTAAATTAATCATAGACCAAAACAAGTAAAAAACAAAACAAAAATAACACAGTATATAATAGGCATGGAAAAAAAAAAAACCCAACCAAAAAGAAACACCTGCCAGTCCCTCTGGGGTGGCTGCTTTGACTAGCTAATGAATAAATCCTACAGTTTAGAGAAAATAAGCTCTAAAACAAAAGAAAAATTACATTATTTTAAAAAAGCACAGCTGTAGCTAGCAATATCCATCTTTTCATAGAGAACACACTAAAAAGCTGTGCTGTACAGCCTTCATGTGATAAATCTTTATTTCATTATTTTTTTCTAATCATTGGAATATCTGGAATCATTCTAACAAAAACCCCTAAAAAAGCATCTATATGAAGGATGACATTGAAGTTTGTTAGCCGGCACCAATTAAAAAAAAAAGAAAGAAAAAAAAAGAGGGAGACATTCTCAAAGAAATCTTAACTGTAAGTGGAGACAAATGAAACTAGTTAAAGCGCTAACCTAGCCTAAGTGCACTAGTAATGCCATTTGGTTTCTACTGCTGCTTATAAAGGGTTTGGTAAAAGTAGGTTACAGATATACACTTTGTGTTTTTACACACACTCACTCCTGCTTTACAGTTTTCTAAGTCACACTTTGGAGTGCAAACTCTGAGGAGTTAATCTTAAAGGGAATTCTGTACAACATTGGTATTAGTACTATACTACCCCCAAAGGCTAGAGGATCCAATTCAAGTATTTTAACTACCCACGCCTTCTGTACACACACACAGACACGCGCACACACACACACGCATATGCACGCACACACACGCGTGTGTATAAATTAGGCAAATTCAAGCACATGGCATTGTATGCATTACAAAAAAAGACAACCTACAAGCATGTAAAAAGTACTGCCGTCTTGAAACAAGAGTACAAAACGCCTTTTCGTTAGCTTTACAGTTCAGATTTCTCGGTCCAGGAAGTCGGCTCTTTAAAAAGTCTGGAGCTGCTTTCGCTTTTGTCGTTTCCTCGTTTCATCCAGGCATGCCTGATTTCAAGTGAGGGATTTTTTTATTGTTGTTTTAAGGGTGAGAAGCGAGCAGAGCTAATGAGTTCAGCTTTCATTGCGATAAACTTTTAACAGGCTTTCATTGCGAAGGAGGTAGGATAGTATATAGAACATCGAGACGGAGATGCAGATAATAGAAGGTTTGGAAAGGGGACGATCTAAACCCCACACTAACCCCCGTTAAGGCTGTGACAGCTCCATGTCTCCGAGGGCTTCAGAATAAGCCTCCCCCCTCACCAACTCCTGATGTATATATCCCCAAAGTCCCAAGAAATCTCATCTCCTGACCTCTGACTGCTATCAGCAGAATACAGATCTAGACATCATCATTCACAGAACTGGACCGACAGCATTGGAGAGTGGCTCTCTTCAAATCTTCAACATGTGGTTACGGATTGGCATGTTTATACAAGTGCTCGTTTCTCATGTTGACATTAGCTAAAAAAAATATATATTTTTTAATATTGCGCAAATGAGGCACGGTTGAAAGTAAAATTGAACAAAACACAGCTTATGTAGGGGTTGAATGGTACTGAGTTGTATCTGCCGTAGAGATGCACTGAATGACATCATTCATCAGCTTGTAGGAAAATCTTACATTTTCGTTATGTGATGTAACAACAACACTCTTTGGTGTGGAAGTAAGGAAGAAGTTTCAAAGTAGGCTAGGTTCAGTATCAGTGAGCGCTTAAAGGTTTTGAAAGAGGGTAAATTTTCACCCTCTTCCTTATTTGAGTAATCGATAATTGCTCCGGCCAGGAAGGGTAAAAACATTTTGAATGTATGTATAAAAGTATGTAAATTGAAAATTTCAAATGCATCTTTTCACTAATTGGTGCATCTCTAGTTTAACCGTTACAACAGAAATACCATGTTTCCTGGAATAACCAACATTGACTGATTGAACTTTAATAGTTTTACCATAGAAACTTAAACCTTTCACTGATGGTTTGTTTTTAGATTGCTCTTCTCCCGTATCAGATATATTCTGTCCATTTTTTTTAAACTTTTGACACAAGCTCACATATTGTCACTACTTGTCACCTTCCCAGTATAACCAAACAGGTTATGTCCGGTCTTATTCATAACCAGCAGATTAATCAACGCTGCGTTTCTCCAAACTGATGGCACAAATCATCAGATGAAAGTGTGATTTGTTTTAAAAACCAGCATAACTAGATTATGACCATGATGTCATCACGCAGGTCGTTTTGCAGATCAATATGCAGAAAAGGAGAGTTTTTTTTTTTTCCCCAAGTACACACATTGCAATAAAATCTGGAGCCAACTCCTCCCGGCTACTCTTTACGCTGAAGCCTCGGTCTAATTTAGAGCCAGAAATTTTTTATGAACAGGTTATAAAGGAAAACTCTTCGTTTTAAATGGACAATAAATGAATGACCTTAAAAATGGGATGCTCATTTATATTGGCTATTTAAAAACACATCTTTACTTCTTTTTTTCTTAATGAGCACTTAAGCACACGTCACCTTTAGCGTTCTCTCTTTCTTCCTTTCTTATCCCGCCCCTGAATGCATCTTCTATGCGGCGACTTGCGCTCCTCAGCTTCCTGCAGTGAAGAAGTTGTAGGTGAGCGGATTGTAATTTGTCCTCCTTTGAATTCAAGTCCCGAGGGCGTCCTCTTCTGCTGTCGATTGGTCCATACTCGCATACAATGAAGCCAAAAAGCGAGCGTTTGAGGGACAACTCTGGCCCTCAAGTACTTCCACTGTTTCTGATTAAACCAGCTCCGTCTGAGTTGACTTTTTCCATCTTTACAGTAACTTGACTCCAACACGAAAGCAAGAGAGGGATCTGACAGCAACAACAACAAAAAAAAAGATTCAGAAATCCTTAAAATGACACAAGCATTCATGTCCAAAAGATGACCAAAACGATGCAAAGGATTTAAAATTTGTCGAGTCCAGCTGAGAAGACACTTAAGATTTTTCAATCTTCATTTTCTCACAGTCAGCTTGTACGTCTTTTCATGTCGTCGTCAAAATTCTTTTCTGATTCGTGTTTGTTTGTTGTTGTTGTTTTGTTGTTTTTTTTTACATAATTTTAGATATCTTGGCAGGCCTTTTCACAAAAGAAAAAAAAAAAAACATTAAGAAATCCTAAAAGAACCTTCATTCCTCCAGAATCACGAGTTAATCCAGAGTCTAGGTTCAGATTTTGGGTTTCAGGAGTCGTCTGTGCCGAGGCTGCGGTCCAGTTAATCACAGTAAGGTCTGTCGTCGGCGTCACTGCAGATTTGGTACGTGTTTGGCAGCCGCTGGTTTCCGCTCCTCCTGGCCCAGGGACGAGCTCCTCGCGTCGGGGTACTGGCTGTTGTCGAAAGGCATGTGGTGGACGCTCTGCACGTGCGTCTTTAGGTTCCCTTTCTGAGATGCTCGGTATGGGCAGAGCTGGCAGCAGAATGGCCTTTCCCCTGGAGAACAAACACAGGCAGAGAACAGGTCAGACGCAAGCCACACGAGACACCGTAAAGCAGCAGCGGAAGAGCTTCGATACGGAGAGCAGCGAACGAAGCACAGCGACGTGTATGACGAACGAGGCGGCGGAATGTGACAACAAGCGACAACAAACACAAGCGAACGTGAACGGATGCACGAGACGGCACTGAATTTGGAAAAGTGGAATGCGCATCAGATGAAGCTTTCAAACACTTTTTCTGTACCTGTTTTTTTTTCTTGCCTTTGTAAATAATTGGCAAGTAAACGGCTGACCTCGTCTGCAAGCGCGAGAAATTTCAGCCTTCTAACCCACCGTGGATAGCAACAGGTAGGGGCAACTTCGCGATCAGCTGAATATAAAAAGTCACTCCATAAACTAATAGGAAACAACTTTAAAACGTAGAATGTCTTCGATGGAAAATGTCAGCGCTTTTGAAGCCAAGACATCACAAAAAGAACAAAGTCAGCACACAACACAACGGTGTTTGAGCAATGGATATAAAAATGTGCATACATTTTTTCAATACATGTTGCTAATTTTAAATACATGTACTGAATCTTTCTGCACTGTAATTTGAGCATAATTCGTTTGCTCAAATAAAAACTTGTTCTATTTCTTGTTAGATTGTAACAATTATTCAGTTGCTATTTTCTTTATATTTTTTATTCACATTGTTGAACTATTTCATTCTTTTTACCTAGTTTAAACTTTTAATTACTTTTGATGTCAAAAGTTAACAAAATAATCCAACTTTTAGATGATTTTCTGTTTGTGGTTTCAAAAAACACTCTTCAGTGGGCAAGTTGTTACTGTGAGAAGAAGAATCAAAGTTAGCAGAAACAGATTAAACACTTCTGCCTGAACAGTTGTTCTTTTGTCTTCCTTCTACTTCACTCAATCACTGGGGCTGATGCATGCACCTTCCTCCCACTGATACACACACACACACACACACACACACAACCCTGTGCACTTTCTTCTAATTAGACTGACCTACAATGGCACAGACACCTCTGCAAGGAAGGAAAAAAAAAAGCAACACACATGTGAGCAAAACAAATGAGAGTGCCATTTAATTGCACCTAATTATCATTTTGATAAATGGAAGAATATCAAAGTGAGAAAACAAATGGCTCCCGCCGCCCCTCCCGTACCTTTCTCCCTGAAGAAGAAACAAGAAAATATGGCTGTTATCATACATCATCAGAAACGCAACAGAAAGAAAAAAAAATACGGGGAAGGTGGGTGAGAGGGATAAAAAAACAAAAAAAAGGTGTAATTAATCACAAAAAAAAAGAACGTGGAAGAAAATAAAAATCGTCGAGGCAGAAGAGACGTGAGGGGAAAAGCGAGAACCTAAAAGACATCGTCCTGGGAGGAAACATGGCTGACGGGACCGGTGCACTACATTATGCTAAAGGTTATCGTCGTCGTAAAGCAGCGTCAACAGTACATCTAATTGGACCCCTCTGCTGCGCCTGCTCCCATCACTCAGAGTACGAGGTAAATCTGAGTCTGTGTGATAAATGATGACGGAGGCACAGTCTTAGAACCCGGCTCTGTTTGAACGAGAACAACAGAACAGATGTGGATCTTTTACCAACATGACGAACTCCAAAAACATTCAGAACGCCTAAGTGTTCAAGGAAATGTTCTATTGGACTTCTTACGCTTATTTGGACATTCTTAGGAGGTTGCAAGAACAATTTATCTGATCTTTCGATGAATTTCAGATGAAAAGGTTTTATTTTTCTTTAATTAAGTTGAGGGTTTTTTTAATACAAAAAATACCCAGTGTGACTAGAAAGTTTCAAATGTCTGATTTTTTTTTAGTAGATTGATCAAATTCTTCATTCTTAGTTAACATGAAACCAAACGGATGCTCAGAAACTCAGCTTTTCTAGATGGCAGAAGAGGATTTTATGCCACGCACACATGCACACTAACTTGTGTGATCACTTTTGTGTTGCACATGTTTTTAAGTTAAGTTTTTTTTACAGGCTTGCTAAGTTAGCAAATATCACAGTCGTGTTTTCTGTGAGACAAATAAACTGCTAGTTGTTCTGTGGTGCTAACAAGTCTGCAAAAATGCACCCCTCCCAGTCAAAAACAACCAATCAGAGCCTGGAGGAGGGTCACAGCACTGTCAATCACTCTCGTGTACGCGCTGCTCAACAAAACAAGTTACCGTTCCACAGAAACAAACGGGACTCTGTACTCCTGAAAAATACAGAGTCATGGGTAACAAAATCTCCACAGCAACCATTTTTAAGGCTTTTCCAAATATATGTGAAGGGAACTATAAGAGACTGAAATTTTTCTTCTGGTACAAGATGAGGTTATATGGTTATTGTTTTTGCAGTATTGCAGCTGTCATTGCCTTAAATAACTAAAACTGAAGCTGGTTATAGAATAAATGTTGAGAAGAATGATCAACGAGCTTTTTCTACCAAAACATATATGGACAAATAAAATAAAACCAAAGTTGTCATAATAAGCTGTTAGGCTGTTTCCATGTGTGCAGGACACACACACACACACACACACACACACACACACACACTGGCACCAGGTGTGATCCTGCTGTGTGTCGGGTGAGGATGCCGGATGTTAATGCCAGGCAGCGAGGTCGCCACATGTGATGGTCACACACGAGCAAAGACAAATAAAAAAATGGGGACCAAACATGCACAGGACATGAAACACACACATAAGCATACACACACACACACACACACACATGCAGGCAGGCATGCATGAGGTGAGACAGCGATAATGAGAGACATGCAGAAGCCATGATGGAGCCCAGTGATTAGCCATTGTGCCACATACTTGTTTGGGAGCTTCAGAAGCGGTGGTGTGAGCGTCAGTACCTCGGTGGAGTCCGTTATAATCAAACCCAACTGTGAGGGGGAGAAGGATAGAGGAAGAGGAGGAAAAGGAAGAGGAGGAGTGGGGTTGGGGCAGAGGAAGGAGGAGGAGGAGGAGGAGGGCATTTGGTTAAACTCTCTACCACACGTGTCAAACTCAAGGCCCGGAGGCTAAATTTGGCCCACTATAGCCTTCAATGTGGCCCTCTAGACTCCACAGGGACACGTAAACAGAACCTTCACGATAACAGTCGTGTGCCTAAATATTGTTTTATCAATCAAATCAGAGAAGTGTTTTCACCTGAATCCTGCCAAATGACATCAGTCAGTCCCTCCGCTTTTTCGCGATTCCACGATATACCGCGGAAAATCACGCAAGATCAACAGGTGGTGCGCTCTTTTATGCTGACGTATAACTGTGGAGGTGGCAGAATTTCTTACTTCTGCTACACTCACTTGATGTCGAGTTATACTTCACGATCAATGAGGCGAGTAACAAAAAATTACCGTCATCCATAAGCGGAAATATCGCAAATTTTCTTGCAAATATTTCTAACTCAGCAACACAAAATCACAAAACAATGGAGGAACTGATCAATGTGAAAAGATGATTAATATTACGAAGTACTTATGGTAAGTAGACACAGCTATATTTAAAAGTTTGTTCAGTATCAATATATTCTGCCACATTTTTTAGATAACATTTGTGATATTGATATGGCCCCAAGATCAGTGTTGCCAGATTGGACAGGTTTTCACCCATCTGGGATGCTTCTGAACACACTGGGCTTGACAAAAACAGCTTTGGGCTGGTTGTGAAAATTTGGGAAGCATTTCACAAAATGGCGGGATTTTAGACAGTTTTCAGCAGAAAATTACTTTTGAAATAGTTGTCATGGTGTGGCAGAGGAGCACAACATTTTTAATATTGCAATTATCGTATAAGTTCATCTATTTTGAAATGTCTAGAATCTGTCAAACATGACACCATCAGTGATTAGTCATTGATTAATCAAGTGTATAATCCCACACAAGTCGAGTTGTGTTCGAAGTCCTTTGCAGTCCCTGTAAAATCCAGTTCTGGTTTAAATATAAGAAATAACAACCAAAAACTTTGTGAACTGTCACAAGTCTAAAAATGTAGTCAATCAATAGGACATATAAGATTATATTTAGGACTTTCTGAGCTTCATTAGAGGTTGCAGTGGGGGTGATATATATATATATATATATATATATATATTTTTTTTTAGTTTGGTGGGTTTTACTTTGTGTTTAGACTGTAAAACATCAGTCAGACCTGGGAACCCCCACCCAAAATGAAAACGACTTCGACACCCCCGTCTTCCACCAGGTCCATACAAGCATTTACTTGTCGTTCTTCCCCTCCTCTCTCTCTCTGTCCCACCCGCGTGAACGCCACAGCCTTTTCGCCACCAGCGGCCCTCGTTAGCAGAGGGGGTCTGGCAGTGACGATGACGGCGACGATGGCGGTCGAAGACGGTGACGGAACCTGGCGGAGGCGAGTCGGTGATTTAATGTGACGCATGTTAATCGAGGGCCTCGGGGTGGCTGGCCTTTTCCCGCGCGTGCACGTCCGCGCCGAAGACGACTCTGGGTGACAACATTAATTACAGCCGCGGCGGAGTGTTTACAGACCCCTCCGCGTGGTGTGTGTGTGTGTGTGTGTGTGTGTTTACAGCGGGGCTTGAGGGGAAGCTCGGCGCTGCATCACTTACCATTTGGCCTCTGTCACTTAGAATCACTGGCTGTGCCACATATCATTCACACTCTCTGTAAAGAAGCTACTTATCTCCGTGTCGACCGCGATCACGGCCGGCCCGGCTGATGGACATGACAGGACAGGAGAAAGAGAGAGAGAGAGAGAGAGAGAGAGAGAGAGAGAGACGGAGGGAGGAGGCAGGCAGCCGAAAGGAGAACAAAGAGAGAGAAAAGGAAAAGAAGGGGAGAAAGAGATAAACTGCAGACTAGAGGAAATGAATAAGAAAAGGTAGAAGGAGGAATACACAGCTATGAAAAAGTATTCATACACTTTGACCTGTTTCTTGTTTTTTGTTGCTATGGAGATGGTGCGTTCAAGGTGGCGCTTTGCCAAAGTTCAGTTTGTTTGGTCCAATTTTTGTGCAACATTTTCTTTCCCCATAATGTTTTCTGTTATTAATCTTTTTTTTTTTTTCTTTTCCTTGAGTTATTTGGTTTGGGGCGTTGGCTGCTTCCTGTTTGGGCAAGATCACAGGTCTTTGACAGCACAACGCAGCTCAACTGGACCAACCATGTGCTGGACAGCAAGGGGTTAAAGTCTCAGCTGTTCTTAGATAATGTTTTACTTTTCCCCAAACCACTATAAAATTAGACTCCTGAGTCTAATTTTGGCGGTTCTCTGGTGTTCAACCAACAAACTGCAGAGTCCTTCACAGAACAACTGGACTTATACTGGGATCGAATTACACACAGCGTAACTATTTATTTAATTAGGTGAACAAATGTTGACTCTGGATTTAATTAATCAGAGTTAAGAAACACCAGATTTGTCAGATATACTTCTTTTTTTTTGTTTCAAAATCATTCTCCTTCAATTTCATAAACCTGCACAGCTTTGTATTCTTCTATCGCATTAAATCCAAATGAAAGTTTTTTTTGTGAACAAATTTCTGAGGTATGAATCATTTTGCAGAGCAAGACAGAGACAAAAAATAAACCAGAGAAGAAAAAAAAGATAAATAAATGAAAGAACATGAGTAGGGAGAAGAGAAAAAACAAAAAACAAAACAAACAGGGTGTCCAGATCAAGCTGTTTGTGGTGAGTGGCACTCAGAGTCATGCAAATCCGTTTTCCCCAAAAGTTGCCGATGACTTAACGCCGTTCCGCTTCATTAGAATGCACAATTCCATCTCTCTAATTGACAAGCGATTAATAATGTATACAATTTGTCACAGGTCAGGTGTCTGCGGCGAATCACGTCTCCGTTTAAAGAACAACAACAAAAAAAAAAAAAAATAGAGACAGCTGCCTGGCTCAGGGCGGGAGGGACTCACAGCTCCGGCTGTCACGCCCGGCCTGAACAGGGAAAAAAAAAAAAAAGAAAAAAAAAAGTGGAAGACGACTCTTGATTTATTTCTGCTCAACGCCAGCGACGGAACGCGGCGTCCGACAATGAGGAATCGCTGGGAATATATTCACCATCCCTCATGCCGTCCGGCGGCTGGATGGAGCTGTGGGGGTTGGCCATGTGAGTGACTGATGAAGAAGTGGCGACAGAAGTTCGAAAAGCGCATTAATAACAAGAGAATGGTGCATTTGTAAAGAAGCGGGACGCCGTACGGAACATCATGCTGGTCATTATTAACGTTCCTCCTACTGTTACTGCGATTAGTTTTTTTGGAACTTGATTAGCAACTAAAACTCTCATCAAGTTGCTGAATGTGACTTCATAAACTCACAGAGCAGAGCTTAATAGCAGACTTTTTTAATATCAGTGTTGTGTTTCGGCTCCTGGAGGTGCAACGCTTTCTTAAGTTCAGCATCTCAAGAGCCTAATAAAGATGTAAGCGTCTAATAAATACCGAGCGGGAGCGGATTCTCATAAGTTTAAAGAATGTTTATTGGAGCTTTGATCAAATCCATTAAGGAAATTTTAATGCGTTTTAAAGACCATCTACTCAGGAAGTGACACCTTAATTACATTGCTATAAGAAAAGTGAGTTTTCTTTTTTTTTTAAACTATGCATGATATTAACAAATTACTGTAGATCTGCAAAGAACTCTCTTGCTAACAGTCGGAAAAAGGAATGTTTTGCTGATTTGTCAGATGAGTGGAAGTACTTTTGTGTTCCTGTTTGCACTGCAAAAACACAAAATATTACCAAGTATTTTCTCTCTAGCTTCTAGTGAAAACATCTTAGTACACATCCCTAATATTGACGATAAAGTGCTAGTTTCACTGGCTGATTATTTCACTTATAACAAGACATTTTTCCCATGTTATAAATGATACAATCTAGTACCGTATCATCAGTACTGAGAACTTACTGACTTAAAACAAGCTCCTTATATCTTGCTTAAAAGATACTTCTGAGTTAGTTTTGTGTTAATCCAAGATATTTTCACTGGAAGCTAGATTAACAAAAAAAAAAAAAACAAACAAAAAAAAAACACTTGGTAAGTTTTTGTGTTTTTGCAGAGTGGTGAGTCCAGGCCGTGTTTACCTGTGTGGGACCTCATGTGCGTGCGCAGGTGGCTCGGCTGGCTGAAGCTCTTCCCGCACTCGCGGCAGAAGCACTGGCCCGGCCGCATCAGAGACCTCAGCATGCCTGGTCCCGGACACAAACAGGAAGGAAAGGGGAAGTTGGTCACGACACAGTTTATGCATGTTTTACAAGGTTGATCAAAACAGAGTAACTAATAAAAAAGAGGAAAAGAGAATTTTGTATTCACACCAAAAAAAAAAAAAAAAAAAAAAACCCCAAAAAATTTAAAAAGGGGGGGGGGTTTTTGGGGGGGGAAAAAACAAATATT